CTGAAACCAGGCCAATCTTCTTAAATCTAACATAACATCATCCCACATATTTGCATGTTCAACCTTTAAAAATTCCAAGAAGGTCGCAGCATTTAACCTTGCAGGCAAAAGGTAGGGTTCCAAATAGTCGATTACGGTAGATACCAATCCACACGTTCACACTAAATTCATGCTGAAAATTTCTTTCCCGAACTGCATGCGGATTTTCATGCGACCAAATATGTTGATTATGAAAATTTACCACTCCAAGTCTAGTGAAGCATGACTCATCGGTCCATAAAACGTTACTTAAAAACTCCCTATTATTAACAGTTCTATCAAGAATCCACTGACAAAATGTGATTCTTCGTTCTCCGTCCCCTGGCTGTAGTCCTTGCACAGGTTGCAAATGGTAAGGACGTCTATGGTCATTTGTAAGAACACGGTGAACATGACTTGCTGAAATTCCCAAGGCACCAAATACTCTCTTAACACTTGTGGTCGGATCTCTATCAAACTCACGCAGAATCATACGGGTAAATCTGCGCTGACGAACATTTATGCTTTGATCCCTTTGGAGATTTCCAAAACCATTTTCAATTATTTGGCGATGCACTCTTACAAATACTGAGCGAGTTGGATGTCGTCTGTTTGGAAATCTTCGTGCGTATTCTCTGGCTGCTTCTGCTGCGGTTTCCATTTACAAGCCATACACAAAATGAATATCCTCTAACTCTTGATTAGAGAATAAAAATGGCATTTTTATAAAACTTACAGAAATAAACAGGTAAAAGAAAACTAAATTTCGTGGCATTCACAATTGCAAAAAAACGTTGCAGGTTTCAAGAGACAACAAAACTAACTGTCAACTAATTGACGTTTAACCTTATTCTGCTTTCAATTTCAAAATATTTGCACGCACAGCCCCCTACTTCAAAAAATTATCGAGGATACTGACTTTCTAACGTTATTTTATCATAAATAATTAAAAATGCATCGAACCTTAAAAATCGAAATATCTCCAAAAAACGGATAACTATAACGAAAATTCACAAGAGAGCTTTTTATGTTGAAAAGTGCGAAGAATCAGTTTTTTCATTCAAAAAGCAAAAAATTGCACTAAGAAAAATTTTCGGTCATTTTATACACTACAGGTACAGTAGAGAGCGCGATTCTAGCGGATACAGTAGAAACCTATCATGGTTCGTTTGTCCTACCAAAAAACCCTTGTATACCAATTTTCACTATTATACATCAAATATGTTCGAAATATTTAAAAAAAAACTATTTTAGAAAGCAAATTTAAACACCCTGTATTTCGGAAGCCACGCATTTTTCGACCCATGTTTATATAGACTTTATGCATTAATTTTAAAAGTTCTATCGAATCTTAAAGTTATGCAACAATAACTAAATGAAATGAACACAACGTATAAATGATGAAGACAATATATAGAATAGCATAAGTGAGGTTATGTTTATTCGCAAACGTCAGAAAGTGGTAAACAGTGAACCGACAATTAAAAAAATATGGTTGGACGCTCCAAGACTAAAGAAATCGTTGAACTAGGGCTCATTTGTTGTTCTTATTTATTTGAAAACTGTATCCTTGTATACGTATATAAATAAATATTATATATTTTTCCATTATTTATAAACTGCTTCCACAGTCAAACCAATAATGCAATGTTGCAGAATTTGTATCTATCGTTTCAGTTACACCTAAAATCGACATAAATGTGTATTTGAGCGTAGACAACAAGGTGTTGCAACAAGTTACATTTGTGTTTTGTGGCTTTCATCACTGTTGTGCCTGGCAGCGCGGTGAGTGGTGCACTCTTTCTACACAAGTGGTGTCCGGTTGTCCCCCTCTCTCTCTTCCTCGTACCTACAAATGGAATCTAAAAAGGAAAGGGACTGTCGCCAGCACTATTTGCAAGTAGTTGGAACTATGATTTGCTATTGTATACATTCTATACATTTTATACATTGTATACGTGAATATCGAGACGTATACAGGGTGGCCCATCCATGTGTGGACGGAATATTACTCATAAACAAATACATCTTGGAAAAATATATTATGGCATGTTATACACGACGTTTTGAGGGCACATATCTAAAATATTGGTAATTATACAGGGTGTCCCAATTTTGACTTACATATCAAAGTTGTGATTTTTAAATGGAATGCCTCAAATTTTATTGCACACTTGGATAAACCAATTCAAACAAGAAGATTGATATTACATACTATGAGGTTTTGCTAATTAGCTACTGAGAGTAAGGTGTTTTGTCCAGAAAAAACCGTTCACTTCGGTAACCCCGCAATCCACCATTGAAATATGGAGTGCTGAATTTGTATTAAAAAAGGCTTACATACCTCAGCTTTTCTCTATTTGTACTTTTTTGAATTTTCATTTTTGCTCATACAGGGTGGTCAAAAACGCGAAATGTGCTTTTTCTCAAAAATTTCAAATGCATCACCCCGTTATATTTGTGCAAGTTTTTCTTCACTTTTTATAAGATTTTTATGGTTATAAGGTTTGATTCAGATAAAATCACTTAGATTTGAGATATTAAGCTTTTAATAGAACAACACACCAAATAAGGAAAAAATCACATCATCCATGGAAAACAAAAGACAACAGTGGGCTAGTTCCATATTGCCACTAAGAGTACAGATTTGAGGTAAAAAACTAATAACAATCACAACAGTATTCAGCTTCAAGCGTAATAGAGAAAGAGAACTATAACAACAACATAAACAAAACCGCTATCACTACTCAAGACCTGATCTGCAAAACCTGCTCAAAAATATTTCCACCATGTTAATACACAGCCGTAGTATTTGGATAAATGACCGTTGCACATCCCTCAGCATGTGTCCCTTATGTTCTGAAAAGCATTCTTAATCCTTTCCTTCATATTTTCCGGGGTAGATGGTAGATGTCTATAAACCTCTTGCTCAAACGTAACCCCATAGAAAGAAGTCTATCGGTGTCATATCTGGTGATCTAGGAAGCCAAGATATAAGGCGAGATGCTAGGAAATATTTCATTGGGCTTCTCCCAAAACGAACATCATATTACTTCTTTAGAAAAATTCATTTCAAACACGTTTTTCATAATAATGCTCACAAAGTTAATTTTCACAGTTGTGTACTAATCAACAATTTATTTGTTTCCAAGGATGATGCGATATTTTAGGGAATTAAGCCGTTCCATAAAAGACGTGCTAATAACCGAAAAAAATAGCCGTAAAAACCCTTATGTGTCTAGTATCAAAAAAGCTTATAAAAAAATGAATACAAACTTGCACAAATATACAGGGTAATGCATTTGAAATTTTTGAGAAAAACTTGCGTTTTGAACAGCAAAAATTAAAATTCGAAAAAGTACAAATAAGATAAAAGCTGAGGGGTGTAAGTTTTTTTTTTTGGTACAAGATTCAGCACTCCAAATTTCAAAATGGCAGACTGAGGGGTTGCCGAAGTGGGCGGTTTTTCTAGACAAAACATCTTATATCTCAGTAGCCAATTACCAAAACCCCATAGTATGTCATATCAATTTATCTTTTGAATTGGTTAATCCAAATATCGTCGCTCCTCTTGCATAAGGGCGTATCTCATTTTTTCGTTAAATTGAGATATTGACGGATTCGGCATCACATAGCTCCAGCTTACCATGTGACAAAGAACGTATCGCTGATTTCACTATAAGTCGCTTGCTACATGAAAAACGTATCTCATTTTCAGTCAAAAATTGTCCTTACATAAAGGCGTATGCCGAGATATGCTAATTTGTATAATGGAGTTGTCCTAAACAGAATCTGTCATACAGGCGTATGTCGAGATGCGCCTGTTTGTTTGACGAAGTCATACCGACCATCGCGTCGACACAGGAGCATCTCATACGGATTGTATTAACCTAACCTAAAAATTGTAAGTAGTTGTATTGATACGCTGTTGAATACCACTAGTTTTAGTTATTCGTATTTGTTGTATTGGTGTGGGAGTTGATAGCTGGTGAGGCACCTTGTATTTTATAGTGATATTCCATCAAAATGCATGCATGTTTCTTTAATACTTGCAGGATAACACTCTAAATGTGGTGAGTCTGATAAGTTAGTACCTGTTATAGCAGTTCAAAAGTTTTGTAAAGGCGTAATGGTTAAAATGCTCTACGGCGGTATTGGTATAATGGTCAGGTGATCGACACAGAAGCAACTTCCACTTCCGAGAGTGACAATGAACCATTATCTAAATATCGTATAGTTTAGTATTTTCTAGTGACGATGAGCCACTGGTCAAAATATATGGCTGTAAGAAATCAAACTCATACACCTGTAGATCAAGATTCAAACAAGCGAGATAGTTACACGCATTTAAAAGCAAAGCTATAGAAAACAGGTACTCAAAATATTAGTGCTGTATATGACCTCCAGCAAGTCATATACTTGCCTATTTAAACGACAGTAAGGTTTCTATAAAAATCGTTTGCTGAATTTCAATTTCACAATATACAATCTAGCCTCAAAAACTGCTATTGCTACACTTGGCATGAGGGTATCAGCAAAGAGGAGCAAGTGAAATATCAACTTGTGTTTATAAGTTCCTATTGCAGTGCGATAAGCAAGGAGCTAATGTTGCTAGTTTATTTGCAGATGGATGTCACGCACAAAATAAGAATTCTGTCATTGCAGCCATGATGGTCTACTTCATAAAGAATAGCTCAAATATCTCCGAAATATCTTTAAGATTTTTTGAATCCTATCATGGCCAAAATGAAGGTGACTCAGCTCACGTGCCATAAGCTATGCACTAAAAAAATGTGGACATATTTGGGTGCCTTCGCAATTACTTCCCATATTGAAGCTGGCAAGACGAAGACAGCCCTACGAAGTTACCGAAATGAATCATGAACAATTTTTGAATTTCAAGAGTGTCGCCAAAGAATTACGTATTCTTACCATCAGAAAAGATAATGAAAATCAAAATCCTATCAACCTGGACAGAAATGATGGAACTAAGAGTAGCCAAAGATTCGCCTGACATTATATACGAGTACTTTAAAAAGTCACCTGAGACCACGTATCGATCAATCTCTTTGAAACGATCGCATTTTGGTGTGCTTGATAACAGTGTAACTCGACTAAATAAGACACCAAGCAAAATCTCTTTAGTAAAACATATTGATTTAGTTTCTTTGTGTGAAGGACCAACTGCAGCAGTTAAAAATCCAGAGCATGTGTCATTTTATAAAAATCTAGAGTATGAAAAAAAATGATTAGAATCTTACATGTTTATATAAGTTTTCCTTTAGATTATAGTTACAGGATTTTAATTAAGTTCTAATTTGTCTTTCGGTAACTTAGTTTTAAAAAAATGTTGAGTTGAGAACATTGTTTTCCTTAAAAGTTGATGTAAACGATTTCTAGTTTGATCTGATAAATGGATGCTAATTTTGTTCCAAAATTTACACCTGTCAAAGATATACAGGGTGACTTGTGAAGTTGAGTCATTAATTTTCAGATAATGATTGTAGAAGGAAGATAAACCAAAATATGAGTGTAAAAATAAAAATAAAAATTAAAAAAAATGTTACCTTGTTTTATAAAGTATCCTCCCGACAAGTATTTCAGTGCGGACCTGTATTTGATCGTGCGGTCTTGGAGCACCGGCATGCCCTCCCCTGTGAGGTCTTAAGTCACCTGATTCACGAGCCCCTTTGTACTACATTAACAAAGGCACGAGGGGTTGTTGCACTCGATTGGGAAACCGATCCGCATAAAGACTCCC